ATGAACGAAGCACATTCACTCTACTTCCTTTACTCTTCACTATATCCTTAAAAAGAACGCATCAGTGGAATGAAACTTTCTAAAAACATTAAAAATCAATGCTGGAATATTTTTTATATTTTGGATTAATTCTAACACCCAAATTATTCACATAATTCCCAATGTTTAAAGGTCACATCTCTGGCTGTTAAACACTACTTTTTATGACGATATTGAAAAATCAAAAAGTGAGTTAGGTTTTGCATCCATATTAAACCATCATATTGCTTCTTTAGAAGTTACTCTACCACTTTTGCAGATGGAGCAAGTAATACTCTGGGCAGAAAGCCATGTGAGAGCTGCTACAATAAAGATAAATTGAATTTAAATTAAACTTTTTCAAAAGCTTTGGTGCACCACAAAATTAACACATCATGAGAAAACTCTGAAGTTTGAAAAATGGAGTTTGAAAGAACATGGTCGAATCCCACTCAGCATTCTCCCCACTCAGCATTCTCTGAGTATTGATCACTCTTTTAATTTGACCAGAGAAAGGCAAGTATTACATATGAACAGTGGAAGACCCTTCCATTTATATCTCTTTCTTTAAGTCGTGGACATTAAATAATTCTAACGATAAAGAGAATCCTGTGTCCTTATTCCAAACCTTAACCAAGCATAGGAAAAAAAAAGAAAAAAGCATCCCAACATCTGAAATTTGTCCCTATTGGAGACCAACGCTGCCCGCACATTTCTTACATTGTTCATACAGGAGTAACTGGCAATAATTGAAGTTATAAATAAATGAAAGGCTAGTCAATTTTTCCTTTGATAATAGTTTTCTAAGTTCAAAAACATAGTTATAAGGCTATAAAATTTTAAGAATATTAAGCCACAGGGTATATCAAACCTGCAGTGTGTAAATCTGCTTTTGGCAATAAGCCACAAGCCCACTGCTTTTTGGGGAAAAAAGTGAATTCACTAACAGCCAAGGTATTGTTTTGCCTGTTATTCATATTATAATTTTTTGTATTATTTTAATACATTTATCAGAATCTTTGCTTAAGACGTGTCTTAAACCCCAACATAATTATGATAATTTGCCTAGTTTTTCTACCAAAAATTATGGCATAACGAATGTTAACAATGCCTTCAAATAACAATACCTAAAGATTAAGTAACAATAAAATTAGCTTTTACCTAACCGAAGTTATTTTTTTAGTAAAATTAGGTTTATGAGATACCCCCAAAATTTAGAATTTTAGGAAAATAGTTGATAGACAGGCTCCTGAGTAAAATATAGATTATATGAGTCCTGTTACGAAGAGTATGAACAATGGTATGCTCTGTTTTTCAGTAAAATGCTATGAATCCTTTATGCTACGTGATTATTGCATAGACAACATGTCCCCCAAGTTTATAATAACATGAAGATTTATTGTTAACAATCTGTAGTGACATGAATATGCTTTACATTCACTACATGTAAGTATAAGGTAGATAGATAGCTTCTAGCTATATGTATTCACTAAAATATACATGCATTTGAGACTACCAGTCACTGTCTATAGAAGTTCACTTCCCCATCAACCTCAACAAAATTATTCTCTGTGGATTCTCTGACTTTTCAGACCATTCTTGTGGTCTTCATTCCAATTCATAGGGTCTTCCTCCTTCACCTTCCACTTCAAGTAGCTGTTCTGCAAGTTTTCATCCTTTGTTTTCACTCAGATTTAGCCATTCTCTGTGGTTAATTTTTTCTACTTTCCACCGACTTCATCTCCTTAATACAAATGATTCTGGAATACACTGGCATCTTCTGTATAAAATCTTCTCACTCAGCCTGTATTAATACATCCTACATGTCTACAAAACTCATGCATATTATCCACCTTTGATCCCATGGGAGTTTTTTGTTTGTTTGTTTGTTTGTTTGTTTGTTTTTAGGGATACACTTTACAATTGCCTATGAGATATGCACCTAGATAGGCAAATTACATGTTCCACAACAAACTCATTATCCATCCTCCACAAAACCTTTGTACTCAACCTCACGTAATTGCTTTTATGCATTCTGCATTAGTTAGAACACTAGTTTCAGCAGTTTTAACAAAGGCTGGAAAATAGTAATGACTTAAACGAGAGAAGTCTTGATTTCTATTCCACATGCAAACATAAGCCTAGTAATCTAGGGCTGGTATGGTGACTCCATAGAGAGCCAACACCCCCTCCTCACATCTTGTTGCTCTCCCATTTTGAACACATGGGTTTCTTTGCATGCTCCAGCTTCTGCTCTCTTGTCTGCATTCTAACTGGCAGAAAAAGGGAAAGGAGAGGACGTGAAGGTAATACTTCCTCTTTTTAAGTAGAGGGCACAAAAGACACACATTTCACTTCCATTTGCACCCCATTGACCAGAACTTTGCCATATAACCATTCTTAGCTACAGAGGAAGCTGGGAAATGTTTTTTTGTTTTTGTTTTTTTCAGCTGGGCAGCTTTTGTGTTTTGCTAAAACTCAGAGACTCTATTACAATAGAGGAAGGGGATAATGTATTCTGGAGAACAGCCATCAACTCCTCTCACATCCAGTACTGTAAAAAAAAAAAAACCCTCGGGGAGCCTGAGTGGCTCAGTTGGTTAAGCCTCTGACTTTAGTTCAGGTCATGATCTCACAATTTGTGGGTTCGAGCCCAGCATTGGGCTCTGTGCTGACAGCTTGGAGCCTGGAGCCTGCTTCAGATTCTGTGTCTCCCTCTCTCTCTGTCCCTCCCCTCCACACACACTGTCTCTCTCAAAAATAAATAAACATCAAAAAATTAAGAAACCCTTTGACCTTCCTTCCTCTTCTTCCTTACTGCTACTGCTTTGTTAACATGTATTTATTCTTCCCACCTGAATGCACACTGGATGGTTTCTGATGCTGTAATCTGGATGAGATGGAAGAGAATGCACTCACAAATCAGTGGCTAAGTACTATGTACCTGAGGCTGTATTAATTCACTCTAATAACGTGGATTAACTCTAACAAAGAAAACCACCTCTAGCACCATCACTAGCTGTGATCAAGGATGCTACTTGTTTGAGCTAGAGATAGCCTGGGGTCAACTTCCAGGTGCCATCCAGTTTTGCAGGAGCCAATCAAGTGAATCAAAATAGAGACACGATGGGCCCACCACCCATGCATCGTTAACAACTTTTTCTGTAAAGGCCCAGATAGTTAATATTCTAGGCTTCGCAGGCCATGCAGTTTCTGTTGCAACCAGTGAACCCACTGTAAGCCAAACCTTGGACAGAACTCCATTTTTCAAACTGCCTTTCATACGCTTCTATTCTAACTGGGGACCCTTGATGATGTGTTAAGGCTTTAATTTTGCTATGCTCCTCATACTGCTCTAAAAAAATAAAGTTTATTAATTTTTTAATTGCAAATCCTATACGAGGAAAAGGTGTCAACATCATAAATACACTAATAATCAAAGGCATTTTTAAATAAGCCTTTTAAATTCTATGACCCTGGTGGTTGTCTTTCACTCTTTAGTTGGTATCCATTAAAATTAGTTATAAGAAAAAGCAAAAGAAGAACTTTATATAATAAGTTACAATATTGTGCTGATTCACATACAATGCTATCAGTTTCTCTATTTGATTTATGAATATTTACTTTATTCTAGAAGGCTTTACTACAATGCAAAATACAGGATATATCCTGTTTGATTAAATGGTTACTAGACAGAGTTGGTAGTTATTTAATCAAAGCCTGAGTAACATCATTTCTGTGGTGAAAAGCAAACTTTGTTTATACCATTTCTCCTCACGGTAACTTTTCAGTTACATAACATACAACAGTACAAAGACCTGGCTTAAATACTTCTTAACATATATGATTACTACTTAAAGTTTTAAAATAATTATTCACCAGTGTATGATATCATTGGACACATAGAATTCTGAGGGTAAACGAGCTTACATGCTATTTTATTTAAACTTCTCTCTGAAATCAGGAATCCCTTCACCCACATTTAAGCAACAATTCAGCAGAAACCAGCATAAAACCTCCCACAGAATGTTTTTTTTTACTTGAAAGTAAAATAAATTAACAAAAAGTAAAAACTAGTTTACTTAATTTGCATGTAAACAGACTCAGAAAATTAAAAGATTGAGAGTCAAGAAAGGATTTTAGGTCTAATGTAATTTAAACTTTCAACTACATAATAAAGAACATAAGGAAAAATTAAGCTTTCATTTTAGAAGCTTAAAATGGGCTTCTAAAGCAAGGTCAGTTTCTTGGAGTTTGAAGAGTCAAAAGTGTTATTAAAGGAGACTTTTCTTTCTTAAACAAGATTAGCATGCCATCAAGCAACAAGATGGCATTTATTCTATGTTTCTGCAAGTCTTTTTATTCCTTCTTCAGAAAGGCAATTTCCACTCCTTTTAAGATTACCCATTACTGGCATCATTCATACAGAATGTAGTTCCCCAAAGTTGAGAATAGGATGAGAAAATAACAAACGTCATTGCCTACAAACAGCAAATACACTTGATTGCAGAAACCAATGAAACACCTCATTGGTCACTGGGTTATTCGTATCCTTCTTAGAATGCGAGTTTTGAGCAGTTCCATGTTTGTTCTGAAACTTTTAATTACCCCTTTAGTCATCGATAGTATTTGGTCAGGTGGTACTGAATAAATGAGTAATATCACCCAGCAATATGGCAGTAATAATATGGTCAAAAGCCAGATATACTTGCTGTCCTTCCAAGTCAAATAGTACTTCTAATGCCGTCAAGTTGGTGATTTGGTTTCTGGCCATCTCTTTAAGAATGAAAAAGCTCTATATTTTTATAGATAAAATAGAATGTACAAGAATTTAGCATGGCAATCACTAAAAGTCCATTTCCCTTACAAACTGAGGAGAAAAAATTTTCCCATTGTTTTCCTGCAATGCTAGGGGATATTTGAAGATGCAGGAAAATGTGGTGGAAGTAATAGTAATTTTTTTTTTTTAATTCTTGGTTTAGTAAGACTCATTACAAGTATTCTGGATCCATTTTTGGCTAAGCGAAGAGGAAAGTTTTACCAGCTGATGGCCGTTTGATGACCTACATGGAAAGAACTGGTAGACTCAGGAGAGCACAATTGAGAGAAGTGATCACATCACAAAATGTGACATCATTCTTTGGCACCAGCTGGCATCCCGGACATGGAGAGTGAGTTACACTCTCAACCCTGAGTTTTCCCCTCCAGACTACCCTTGCGGCTCACCAGAGGGCAGTGTGCAGTAATCGGCCCTACAGCTTCCTGCATTGGATGTCTCCTCTGGAACAGACAATGGCAAATCATCAGAACCAGAAATCAGGCAAGATAATAGATTATGGAGGCTGTTTTGTTAGATTTGTTGTATCTATTCCCCCTCGTAGAATTCTTAACATTGAGAAATTAATCAGTCACTACATGAGAGAGACATAAGGTAATGAGCTTTTAGTAAATCCTGTTACAGTTTCAAATTTATGACAATAGTCTTGGGATTATGAAACTCAGTTCTCCTCTTTAGACTTACACATGCATAATACTATTCAAAGGTGAATAAATTTCCTTTCTTCACACGTCTCACATCTGAATTCTCACGAGTTTTCAATCTTACACACACAGTGAATAATTCACTGAACACTTTACTGAACAATTGGAGTGTGGGATATAACAAGATAAAGCACCTATAAAGGAACTTGAAATCTGTCAAGGGACTAAAGTGTAAATGAAAAATTAGATATATGATCAGAATTATACAAAGTGGGAGATGCATATAAAGTACTATGAAAATTCAGAGGATGGGGACATGAAGGCTTTCTGAAGCGTTCACAATCTGAGCTGAGTGTTGCAGCTGAGGCAAAATTCTTAGACATATTGAATGTGATAAAAGCACATCCTAGATAAAGAAAACATTTATGGATGGCAGGTTAAAGGATCTAAGAACGTAAAAGAATGTAAAAGGTAGTTGTAGAAATAATGCTAGAAAACTCTATTGTTTCTATTGTGAACAGGTCCGTGAGAGTATTGAATACCTGAATGAGATGCTCCCCAAACGGAGCTGATAATGGGAAGTTGTAGGAGAAGAACATTAGCATTTGCTAATGCTAATACTAAGAAAACTGATCTTACAGTATGGTGCGGGATGGATTAGATAATTAAGAATCCGAAGGTAGAGGGTTGAGTTAGAAGGCTATTTCAATAATCCTGCATACTTTGAGATTGAAAATAAAGCAAATAGCGGTTCTGTAAAGGTAAAATTGGTATGAGTAAAACCTAAGTAGATGTGGGTGGGGGTAAAGAGAAAAATAAGTCAAAACATAGTTTGAGATTTTGAGCTGTGAGGGAGAATGATGACTTCATTCATTGAAATATAGGACACAGGAGAAGCAGCCTTAGGAAATAAACTGATATATTAACCAAAAATCTTGAACAGAATATCCTAGTTAAAATTTATATGAAGCTAAATACTCACTTTCCTTTGTTCTTTTAAATTAACTCAGATAAGTTTGGAGGACCCATTACTCTTGAAATCTTCTAAAAGTCTACTCGAACAACAAATGTTTTGGAAATTTTAAATGTGAAATTTTAAGAGGAGTGTATTGAGCACTCAGGGTTAACAAACTTAAATTACATCATGTTAAATGGGGCAAACTTCAAAGTGTTCTCCCCCCACTGAGGAAAATAAGGTTCGTTACACTTTATTGTTGCTAAAAATTTAAGAATACTGTAATTTCACCAAATGGTGAATTTGTGCTTAATAAAAAGGAAAGAATTGCAACCTTTTGCTGATGCAACCCTATTCTGTGTATTTTTTTTTCTTTCTAATAGGAAACTATGATACAACATTTAAAGGAATCGATAACAATCTGTTGAAGAAACAAAAAACCCTAAATATGACTTCCTTTAATATTTTTAAATGTTTTTTTATGTATTAACTGAAAAAGCCTATGGTAGAGTCTCATTTGCCCAAATACATTGTTGTAATACTTTTGCCCAACTCAGCTGACAGTTACAAAACCCAGAAACCAAGCTGTGAAAGAAACTTTTCCAGTTGAAGCATCTGCTTTTGTTGCAGATTTTTCAATCATATAGGAAGTTTTGTAGTTGCCTTGATTTCATTTGTTAGTTTTTCTGCTCAAATTAAATAAATGACATCATAAATGGCATGGACTTGTTTCTTAGCCACCAAAAAAAAAATTCTAGTAGTAAAATTTTCCACATTTGAGTTCTATATTCCTATCTTTCATTCTTGACCCTTGAAACAATTGCTAATCAAATAAGCTCTTATCCATACTTGGACCCTGCAGCTTTAAAATTTTTTCTGTGTCAACCACAACGAAGTCTTTTATATGTTCATTACGTCCTCTCAACCCTGCTCTTATGCATATATAATTTAAAACAAAAATAAGCCTTTTATCGTGTTGGAATATTGTATATGATATTGTTTGTGTATGTCTTGTCCAATTAGAACTGCAAGGCATTATGCTGTTCTTAACACCACTTTGCTTAGTCACCTCCATGTGCTAAGTTACTATAGGAAGCCCTACTGAATTCAATACCATCAGGACTTCAGGTGAACATTTTAGAAATCGACACCATCACATTTTGTTATGATTGCCCCTTTTGTTGTTGTTACGCCCCCCAAATGGAATGTAAACCATATGAGGAGAAGGATGACGTCTAGTTTAAGAAGCACACTGAGCACACTGACTTGTTAGAAAACAAAGAGAGAGCGGAATATTCAGCTAGTCCCAGGTGGGACTAGTCGGAAAAATGGCAACATTGGCTTGTATTCTGCTAAAGGGGAAAAAAGGGAAGTGCCAAGAAATGAGATTATAGTTGTTATCCAAGGATCAGAAAGCATAAGAGAATGAAACATCTCTGGTCTTCCCTTCTATAGATATCTCTCCAATATATCTTTAGTTGCATATGTACCTAATTAATTAATTATGATGACATACACATAAAATTTATTATCTTAACCATTTTTAAGTGTACAGTTTAGTGGTAATACATACATTCACATTGTTACAAAACCATCATCATTCATCTCTAGAACTCTTTTCATCTTGCAAAACTGAAACTTTGTACCAATTACACAATAAATCTCCATTCCCTCCTCCCTCCAGAACCTAGAAATTACCATTTTCTGTCTTCTGGGTGAATTTGAGCACTCCAGGTAACTCATAGAAGTGGCATCAAGTATTTGTTTCTTTGTAAGCGGCTTATTTTACTTAACATAATGTTCTCAAGGTTTATCCATGTTTTAGCATGTGTCAAAATTTCCTCTCTTTTTTAAGGCTGAATCCTAGTCTACTGAATGCATATATCACATTTTGTTTATCAGTTTCTCTGTCACTGGACACTTAGGTTGTTTCCACCATCTGGCTATTATAAGTAATGGTGCTATGAACATGGATATACAAATATCTCTTCAGGAAAGTGCTTACCATTCTTTTAGGTATAGATCCAGAAGTAGAATGGCTGGATCATATAGGAATTCTATTTTTAGTTTCTTGAGGAAGCACCATCTATTTTCTATAGTTACTGCACCACTTTACCTTCTCACTGAGCAAAGTGTCCCAATTCCTCCACATCTTCACAAACACTTGTTATTTTGGGGGTTTTGATAGTAGCTACCCTAATCAGTGTGCGGTACTATCTTGTGTGGATTTGATTTGTATTTCCCTAATGTTTGGGGATGTTGAGCAACTCTTCATGTGTTTGTTCCCCATTTGGATAGCTTCTTTAGAGAAATATCTATTCCAGTCTTTTGCCTATTGTTATACTGGGTTCTTTGTGGGATTTTTGTTGTTGGGCTGTAGTCCTTTATACATTCTAAATAACCCCTGTGAGATATATAATCTGCAAATATTTTCTCCTATTCCCTTTTCACTCTATTGATCATGTCCTTTAATGCACAGTATACTATGTAGTATGCACACTATTTTATGTAGTCCAATTTATCTACTTTTTGTTGTTGTTGCCTGTGTTTTAGGGTCGTAGCCACGAAATCATTGACACATCCAATGTCGTAAAGACCTTCTCCTATGTTTTCTTCTAAGGGCTTTATAGTTTCAACTCTTTATGTGCTGGTTTTTGGTCCATTTTGATTCATTTTTGTATATGACATAACTTCATTCTTTTCATGTGTGTCTTGCCAGTTATCCCAACACCGTTTGTTGAAAAGACTGTTGTTACCCCACTTAATGGTCTTGGTAACTTTGTGAAACATCATTTGGCTGTATGTGCAAAAGTTTAGTTTTGAACTCTTTATTCTATTCCATTTGTTTATATATCTCCTTGTATGCCAATACTACTCTCTTTTAAATACCATGGCTTTGTAGTAAGTTTTAAAATCAGGAGGCAATGAGACATTCGATTTTGTTCTTCCTTTTGAAGATTGTTTTGGTTATTCAAGCTCCCTTGAGATTCCACTTGAATTTTAGGATTTTTTTGTAATTCTTCAAAATAAATCGTTGGGATTTTGATAAGATCTTGATTGGGTCAGTAGGTCACTTTGGGTAGTATGGACATTTTAACGATATTAAGTCTTTCAATTTCAAATATATCTTTAAGACCGAGAACATGAACCGTTTCAAAAAAGTCCACTTATTTGGATGAAAGAACTGTAAACGATACATTCTAGGCACCCAAATGTCAAACACCAAGCAGTTGACGAGGGAGTAAGGATTGGAGTTATCAGTTAAAAAATTGAAACACAACCAGTAGAGTTTACAAATATGGTGGAGAGACAACAACAACAACAAAAAATTAAATACAGCTTTGTTATTATTAAATTCCTATATATACTAGGTTTTATTTATACATTTTAATTCTATTTTTATAGATCTATGTCTATGGTGACATGGCACTATATTACATTTTTAATTATTGTAATTTTATAATTTGGTTTAATGCTCATTGGGCCAGTTATCCATGCATTGCTCTTTTCTCATAAATAGTTTAATTAGGCTTGCTCATTATTTTCTCAAGAAAGTTTCATGAAATTTTTATCGAATTAAAAAAATTCTGATGAGAATCTTTACTTAAATCATATTAGATATATGAGTTAATTTGAAGGTACTTGATATCTTCATAATATTGAATCTTCAACATCGAAGAATGAGGTACACCTTTCTACTTATTCAAGATTTATCTAAGAAACGTTTTATTAATTCCTTTATGTACACCCTACCTATTGTTAAATTTGATCTATTATATATAATATATATTATATAGGTTTTTTTTTTATTATATAGGTTTGATTAAGCATTGGATTTTGAATTTTATCAAGTATAATTTGTGTATTCTATCAATCAGGGATCAACCAGGGACACAGAAGGCCCTCCATGGAACCCAGGTGCCAAGAGTTTAATATAGGAATTAGAGGTTTACGCAACTCTTAGGAAAACATGAGAAACAAAGGTCAGGGAGTTCAAAAGTAAAGATTTCAGTTTGTAACACCACAGCAGGTGGTTCTCAAGGATTCTTGAGAAAGCCAGTGTAAATCTCATGTGTGCTCCTTTGTTAGTGTGCAACTGCCTCCAGAGAATAATGGCCTTTCCTTCTCATGCCCAATAAATCTCATGTCAGGGCTTCTTATTG